CTTGGCTGCCGGTTTTAGGACACTCAGCACCATTTGGCCGGGTGGGAGAGAGATGTTCTAGGAGTGGTTACAGGCTGCCAGAGGTCCCCGAGGGATCACCTGCTGTCACTTGTCTGGGGGGAGAGGCACTGCCGTCATGAGAGGTATCCAAGCTCACAGGTAAATGGGAGTAAGTCTGACTTCCCAGGCCTGTGCTGAACTTCGGGAGCATTTCCCATGGGAGGGAATCGGGCTTGGGGAAGCCCAGTACAGACAAAGACAAGATGTGCAATGAATTTGTGCTGAATGAATAAGAAATTGGTGTGAATTAATGAATGCATAAGTGGGTAAGTAAATGGCTAAAAACAGAGTAAATGAATGAATGGAAAAAAATCATAATAGCTAACATTCACTGAGCAGTTAGTATATGCCAGGCATTACACTAAGCACTTTACACATACTGACTCATTTAACATTCATAATCATACTCTGAGATGGGCATGAGGGGGAGAGAGAGAGAGGGAATTGGCCCCCCAGATGTCTGGTCTGCCCCAAATAACTCACAGACTCTGGGACTCCCAGGAGATCTGAAACCGCTGCTGCCCACCAGCCATCAGGTTTGACTGGGAGGTTGTTGGTGGGTGGACCCAGCCACCGTGGTCCTTGTGGAGGATGATGGAAGCCCACCATTTGATGTGCAGGTGCAAAAAGATAAAAAGTATAACTTTCCTATGCAGACTCCACGACCAGTTCTCAGCTCCCAGTCAGACTCCAGGCTCACTCTAGCCTGGGAGAACCTGGCCCATCCTGGCTGTGGTCACAGCTCAGTTCCACAAAGCCCCACAGAGTCGTGGAAGCCCCAGTCAACTGAGGCATGGGCTGTCAAGAGCAGCGGCTCGAGCTGAGTTCTGCAACCACCTCCATTCACTTTGGCTGCTCTGTTTGGGAGGGGCTGTGTCACACCTCCCTGCCTTTGCCCATTCAGTCCCTCCCACTCATGCAAATCATCCATCCACCTGGATAATATTCACTCAACTGTCAGGAGTCAACACAAACATCACCTCCTCCATGAAGCCTTTTCTGATTTACCCCTTGTGTCCCCACAGTGCCCTCCACAAATTCGGGAACAAATTCATGACTCCTTAGAGCCCAGGTTCTCAAATCAGGTGGTGAAGAAAATTAACCTAAAAACTTATATAAAACAAAACAAACAAAACCAGATCTCTCAACTCCAGGCTGTTTTATAAAGGTTTGGGGAAGACCAGGCTGTAAATGGGTTGGTGTTTGCAGGGGAATCTGACGCACACAGCCCACCCACTAGCTCTTGTGCACTTATTCACTTATATGTCTGCCTTCCTTCTAGACTGTAAGAATCCTTGGCACAGGGCCCCTTCCATACACACCTACCACATGACTGGGCATGAAAAGTGTGTAAGATGGAAAGGAGGGAGAGAAAGACACACACACATACACACACATATATACACATACACATATATACACATGCATATAAAGGCACATGTACAGACACACACAAACACACATATACATATAAACATACACACATATACCACACATACACATATATGCATACAAACATATACACACATATATGCAAATATACACATATATGCATACATACACACATATATACACATATACACATACATATATAGGCACATGCACAGACACACACAGACATACATAAATGCACACACATACACATATAGACATTTATACACATACACACACAGACATGCACAAACACACATATACACATACAAAAATATACCTATATACACAGATATACACACACACATATATACACATACACACACATATGTACGAATACGTTATCCACACAACACATAGATATATGCATACACACAGAAACATACAGACACATATATACATGCACATATATACACACATACATATACATACATACGCATTGACATACACACAGACATCCAGACATCCACACGCATCCACAGACCCAAACATAGACATGCATTGACACTCATGCACACATACATGCAGATATACACACAGACGCATACACACATACACACACATACACACATATATATGCACATGCATACACACATGCACACACATATGCACACACACATGCACACATATATATGCACACGCATACACACATGCACACACATATATGCACACACACACATACACACATATATATGCAGACGCATACATACACATACAGAAATCCACAGTGGAAGAGCAGGAGCCAGGGGCCGAGGAACTCGGTCGGTTCACTGAGTCCAGTGTCCCCAGCAGGGACAGTGTGAAGGCCACGTCCACAGCATCCACTGCTCTCTTCCACCTGCCCCTTAGCCGTCCGCCTGGTGATGCCGATACATCTTCCTTCTCATTTCTCGTTTGTTTAAAAAATCAATACCCCGTTTCTGTAGGCCACAGTGTCAGATCAGAAACCAGTACTTTGGAAACAACAATTTTCATGCCATTTTTATTTTCCGTAATTGTTTCCTTGTTGCTCTCTCTTCGTCAGGGGAGGCCGGCCTTTGAAAATGCCAGCTTGTCCGCCTTGCTGAGGGGAGGCGGATGAGAGTTTTTCAGCGGGGCAGGCAAGGAGGGGTAGACGTGGGGCAGAGGCCAGGACAAGACGCCCCCCCCCCCAGCCGCAAGGAACCCCTTTCCGACCACGGGAAGGTGAGGGTGCAGGTTTCTTCTCCAGTTCTGCAAGGATTGGGGTTTCCACTCTCCATCAGGGATGCCAGTCCAAAATTTCATGGCTATAGACACCAGCTGGCTCCCATCAGGAGTCAAAGCCCAGGGACCCCTCAGCTCCTGATCCCCAAGTCCAGGCTTCCTCCTAATCTAGGCATGGCTTCTTTGCTCCTGGGTTCCAAGAATTCCATCTTCTCTTCATGTAAGTAATACTGTTCCTGTGTTTGCAGTGGGTGCCCACCAAGGGCTGGGCACTCAGCTAGCCCTGGACATAGCAGGGTGACCTCGCTGGCCCCCACAGCAGCCCCAGGAGATAGGTGTTCACGCCTCCAATTTCTGCACGAGGAAACCGAGGCCAGTAAATGTTCCTGAGGCCACACAGTTAACAAGAGGCAGGGCTGGGATTCAAACTGCCAAAGTCCATGCTCTTAACCCACCTCTGCTGCTTTCTTTTCTTAGCCTCACTGCTTCTACCCCAAATTCATGTCCACCTTTTCCCATTGCCATTAGCCATCTAAGAATTCGAGGCACAGGAGCCAGGCACAGAGGCTCATGCCTATAATCCCAACACTTTGGGAGGCCAAGGTAGGCAGATCACTTGAGGTCAGGAGTGCGAGACCAGCCTGACCAACATGGTGAAACCCTGTTTCTACTAAAAAAATACAAAAATGAGCCAGGTTTGGTGGCCTGCACCTATAGTCCCAGCTACTCAGGAGGCTAAAGTAGGAGAATCACTTGAACCCGGGAGGCAGAGGCCGCAGTGAGCCGAGATCACACCACTGCACTCCAGCCTGAGAGACAGAGCGAGACTCCATCTCAAAAAAAAAAAAAGAAGAAGAATTAGAGGCCCAGGCCCACTCGGCTTTGGGAACTCCCAAAACCCCTTGACTTGCAACCTACTAACTCCCTTCTCCCCCTGTGGAATCCCCTGCTTCTGCTCCTCCCCCTAGCCCGGGTTCCTTTGGGCCCATGGTTGCCTGAGCTCAGAGACCTTCTGGTCTTATCAAGCTTACCTTTCCCTCCTAATCATCCACTGTGGTTAACACTTAATTTCCACCAGGCCACACCCACCAGCCCAGTGATTTTCCATCTCCAGGCACAGGTGTCAAGAGGGCCCTCCAGCTCCTGGTGCTTGCCATTCATCACATCGTCCTAGATGCAGCCACAGAGAGAGGGAGGCTGATACCCCAGTGCCAGGGACTTCGGCTTCCAGGCCTGTGTCTGCCACTTCCATGAGGCATAGGCCCCAGCAGTCACGTCTTTCTGTGACATTTATCACAGGAGCAATGATAATGTCCTTCAGTGTTTAACGCTGGTCTCCCCCCATAGAAGGGAGGTCCCATGGGGACAGGGACGATGGCCGATTTGCTAAGAGCTGTCCCTTCAGTGCTTAGCACATGGAGGGGAACACACAATATCCGTTAAATGGTGGCTGTCCCCTCCGGGCCTCAGTTTCCCTGTATATAAAATGAGGAGGATGGGTCGAGTGATCTCAGCCCCTCTCCGGCCCTAACTTGGTATGATTCCAGGATCAAGAAGAAGCAACAGGCCCCTGCCTGGGCCTATTGCTGTCATCAGCTTCAAGCCCTGCTGGAAGCAGAGGGAGGGGCATGAATAAATAATGAGCACGTTTAAAATGCATTATGAGATTGTCTTCTGAGAACAAGGAAAGAGCAGGGGCACAGAATGGGAAGGAAGCAGAAGAGATGAGCCCAGAAAGGAGAAGCCTGGGACATGAAGTGATATTAACAATGAACACGTGCACAGGACTTTACAGTTTACCCCCATACACTTTCTCCCCCATCATTTCCTCCATTATCCTCCCAGCGGCCCGTGAGATCTGTATCTGTAGAGCAGGTAAAATTACGGTCCCATCTTATAGCAGAGAAAATTGGGGCTCCCTTGGGGTTCCCTTGACTGAGAACATGTAAGCTGGCAAGTGGCAGGGCCAGGATTGGATTCAAAGTCTCTGACTCTAAGTCAGTGCTCAGGCACTGGGCCAGCCACATGATGCTCACGGAACACTCCTGCCCAGTGTAGAAGAAGATCACGAGGTCAGAGTGCCTGGGCGGGTGAGCCGCCAGCTGCAGTCGGTTCCCCAGGACTGCGTGTTCTCTTCACAGCTGCTGAGTCGGCAAAACCGAACTCACATCCATCCATCTCATTTACAGTAAATCCGGTGGGTTGCAGAAATGGGACCTGAAACTGCCTGAGGGCAGCAGGGTTGGGGGACAGTGAGGGCACGGGAAGGGGTCATGGGAGGGGACTGCTGTGCCATGGGAGGGGACTGTCAGGGGAAGCCCTTCCCACCTCTGGGGAAGGGAACTTCCGCTTCGGCCGAGGGCAGCAGGCCTACGGCTCCTTGTCCCACTGCTGCTCAGCCCAGTGGCATCGCAGGACACCGGCTTCCGAGGTGAGGACAGGGCTTGGCGCCTGGGGGAGGCTGGCAGGGCCAATATGGAAGAAAGTGGTGATTCCATAAGTGTGAGCTTTGCGTCCCCTGCCTTGGAGCCAGCTGGGCTGCTTAACAGTGTAGGCAGCCAGGCCCAATCCCAGATCTATGGGACCCATCTTTCTGGGGAGTCTGGGGAGTCTGCTGCCACCCAGGGCCCCGTGGACGGGTGGCCACCTCAAGTGGATCCTGCAGCCTTGGGGCTTTGGCATCACAGAGACTTGAGCTGGCTCCAGCTCTGCATCCTGTGCGTGGGTCATCTTGGGCAAGCCCCCTAACCTCTCTCAGCCCGGCCCCCCTAGGGAGAACAGAACCTCTCCGGGCTGCTGTGCCCTACAGGAGATCAAGCTTGCAAAAGCTTAGTGCATGCCCTGGCTCAAAATTTATCAGTAAACCAGACACAGGAGTGTGATTAGAACCCAGTTTCCCCTGCCCAGCCCAGCGTTTCTCTAGCATCTTGCTTCTCTTATTTCCTCACACTCTGCTGAGAAAGCTCAGCTTGACTCTTCCAAAGAAATATGGGACGTTCCGGTAGAGTCAGGATTCGTTCTTAGCTAGTGCTGAGTGAATGCAATGTTTGTGCGGGGGCGATGGGAAGTGGTCCTGCACTGGGGACCTCATTTCTTCTAAGCACCTTCTCCCATCATCCTTCCGGCAGCCCGGTCAGGCTGAAATCAGCATTGCCAAGAGGCTCAGAGAGGTTGAGGCACTTGCCTGAGGTTATGCTGCTGGCTGCACAGAAGGGGCTTTACAGTCAAGTGGGCCTGACTCCAGGTTGGGGGAAGGGACAGCTGAGACTGAAGGAGATGGAAAGGCCAGAGCTGGGGGGAAGACGGGAGGAACCTGACTGGCCATGATGAGGGGCTGGCACAGCAGGAGGTGGGTAAACCAGGTGAGTCGTAAGCCCTAACCCAAGCCTGCAACTCGGTGCCTTTTGAAATGGGCTAGAACCAGCATTTTCCTACTCCCCCTACCCCTGGCTTCTCCAGGAAGCCCCAGTCCCGTCGGAGCCCTGCTCCCCACCCACACCCGCACCAGCTGGTCCCAGTGCTCCACCTCTGGCTACCTCCAGCTGACAGAGCCCAGTCTCTCCAAGGGATTGTCTTTTTTTTTTTTTTTAACTTCTCCAACCATCTTTCCTTCTGTTCAACCACTCAGGAATTCTTGGATGACAGAATGATAAAATAGCCAATACTCATTAAGCACTGCCAACATGTCAGGCTCTGTTGGAAGCTGTAACTCATGTCCTCAAGCCAACCCTATGAGGGAGAGAGTAGCATTATTCCCACTTTATAGGAGGGCCAACTGTGGCCCGAGAGGGGGAGTGATTTCCCAAGTCCCTGAGCTAAGAAGCAGCAGAGAGCTGATGTGAATCCGGATGGTGCTGCTTTCCTTGTGACACTACAGGCTCCCGCTGTCAGGTGACACACTCCCGCTGCTTGCAAAGAGCAGCGATCATCGTGGTGGTAAAAGCCAACTTCACCAAGCTCTGACCATGTGCCTACCACTGCTCTTAGCGTGTGCATTCATTAGTCCTTGCATCAGGCTGTCTGGCTTCAAAGTTTATGTTTTAACCACCAGGTACAGTGGCCTCTTAACGTAACACTGAATTTTAAGATCTAATGGATATGAGTTTGACTCCCAGCCACGTAGGAGCTGTGTGACTTTATCAAGGTGCTTGCCCTCTCTGATCCTGTTTCCTCATCTGTAAAATGAGAAAGCCAGAGAGCATTCTCAGGGGTCAAGCATTCAAATTACATGAGATAAGGGCATGTAAATCATTTGGCTCAGAGCCTGGCCCATAAGTGCCCAACTTATTAAAGTTGTCAAATTGCCATTGTGTAAACCCTTCAGCAAGAGCGAGAGCGGATGCTTATTCAGGGCTAAGCAGGACCACGCCCCTGAGCCACCGTCTCTTCAGAGCACAGAGCCCGACAGAGTCTAAATCCATCAACAGCAGGCCCTGGCCATGCTCATCTTTACAGCCTCCCTCTCCTCGGTGCATGGGGTCTGGCATAGCTCAGGGCTTTGAGGAAGAAATTTATCAGAACTAGGCTGAGGGGCTGAGGCTAATTTGTAGATCATAGGAGCCAAATAGCAGGCTTTTCTGTTCCCAGAGAGCCCTCCACATGCCAGACCCTGGGGTTGGTACAGCCAGCATGAGGCAGAGAGGGTAGGGGTTTGCCCACAGCCCTACCGTTAAATCATTTGCTGGGTGATTTGGGGTAGGTTGCTTTCTAAGTTCTGATCATCAGTTTCCTCATCCGAGAGATGGGAAATTCATCATAACCCCCTTCCCCAGGGTGTTGTGAGAATCAGAGAATCAGCAGCAACAGCAGAAGCAGCCACAAGTCCCAACGAGAGCTCGGGGCTTGGGGCTTTGTGACTCTTTCCCATCCATGGCCTCACCTGGGTCCCTGTGGCCGCTCTGGGAGGTGGGCAGAGACCGCTCTGCTCCCCGATTTTAAGAGAGGATACAGCTCAGCCTCTGAGGGAAGGCTTCTCGGAGGAAGAAGGCTTTGACCCAAGCCTTGAATGGTGAAAAAAATGTGAATCTGGGCAAAGGTGGAATGGGCTGCCTCAAGAGGTAATGAGCTGCCCATCACTGAAAGGGTGCAAACCGTGGATGGAAGAGCCCTTGGCAGAGATGTCATTTCCTCACACTCTGCTGAGAAAGTTCAGCTTGACTCTTCCAAGGAAAGAATGCAATGTGGAGATGGAGTTGTGATTGGTTCCCAGGACTGAGTGAACGCAACGTTTGTGCAGCAGTGGAGTGGGAGGCACCGCACGGGGGACCTTGGCAGAGGCGTCATTGAGGAGACTTTAGAACAGGCTGAAGGGTCCTCAGGAACTTAAACATGGAATTACCGTAAGCGGTAATTCCTCTCCTAAGTATAAACCCTGAAGAATTAAAAGCAGATACTCAAATCCTCGTTCACAAATGTTCATAGCAGTGCACTTCACAGTCGCCAAAAGGGGGAAACTTCCCAAATGCCCACCAATGATGAGTGGACAAAGAAACAGCCACGTGAGGCGCTGAGTGCCTGTAATCCCAGCTACGCAGGAGGCTGAGGCAGGAGGGTCGCCTGAGCTCCAGAGTTTGAGACCAGCCTGGGCAACATAGCGAGACCCCATCTCAGCAAAACAAAACAAACAAACAAACAAATTATGATCTAGTCTGTAAGAGGAAAAACACAAACTATATTTCGCCCCACTCTCACACCACAACGATCAATACAAAGACTTCTGTGGCCAAATGTGGGGGATTTCCCCCGACACACCAAGCAAGCAACCAAATCTGCTGGTATGTTTCCATTCAGTTCTGGCACTATCCAGAAATAGCATGAGACCCCACAGGCTGAGAGCTCAGTCCCACAGGACTGCTCCCCTCAGACATCAGTGACAAGCCCAGGACCCCAGAACTTCTGACCAGCAGCCTCATGTTGGAGTTTGTCCCCTCAACCCCCTCCTTGGGTTTGGTTTCTAGAGTAGCCCGCAGAACTCAGGGAAACATGTTTACCAGTTTATTATCAAGGATACTACAAAGGATACAGATGAGGAGATGCCCAGGGTGAGGTATGAGGGAAGGGGCGTGCCAATGTCACACCCAGTTCCCTGGTCACGCCACCCCCCGGGAACCTCCACGTGTTCAGCTATCTGGAAGCTCACCGAACCTAGTTTTTGGGATTTTGTGGAGGCGTTATTATGTAGGTATGGTTGATTAAACCATTGACCATTGGTAATCAACTTAACCTTCAGCCCCACTCCCCTCCCCAGAGGTTAGGAGGTGGCGCTGAGAGTAAACCCTCTAAGCCTGCCTTGGTCTTCCTGGTGACCAGCCCCATCCTGAAGCTACCTAGGGCTGCCAGCCGTCAATTAATCATTAGCATACAAAAAGACATCACTTTGGAAATTCTAAGGATTTTAGGAGTTGTCAGCCAGGAAAGGGGTAGAAGACCAAATATATACTTTGCAATCTCACATGTATCCATGCAATGGAATATTACTCAGCTATAAACAGGAATGAAGTGCTGATACATGCTACAACATGGATGAACTTTGAAAACATTACACTAAATGAAAAAAGTCAGACACAAAAGGTCACATATTGTTTAACTCCATTTACATGAAATAATAGGGATAGGTAAATCCATAGGGACCGAAAGCAGATTCGTGTTTATCAGGGGCTGGGGGGAGGGGGGTTGAAAAGAAACTGCTTAACGGGCATAGGGTTTTATTTTGGGGTGATGAAAAGTCTTGGAACTAGATGGAGGTGAGGGTTGCATAAGACTGTGAACGTATTCAATACCGCTAAAATGCTCGTTTTCAATTGGTTAAATTTATGTTGTAGGAATGTTGCCTCAGTTACAAATATATAGGCTGAGGGTTAAACTATATGGACTCTAAGGCCACTCTGTCCCGCGAGCTAACAGCTTGGGACACTGGCCATGCTGACCAGTTTGAGACAGCCCACCAGCTTCTTCCTAGTTCTCTGGGATTTAAAAGCAGCCAGCACTGCTCTCCTGCCAGAGTCACAGCTCTGAGAATGTTCCACCAGCAGAGACGGCCTGGTACGCTGTCAGGGACCTCAGCTTCATTCCTTCCTGTGTGACTCTGAGCAAGTGACTTAGCCTCCCTGTGTCCTCTTTGGTGTAGGAATCACAGTAGATGCCAGGATGCTCGAAGCATGCAAGGTGGCCTGCTCATAAGTGGCATCGCACCCTGAATTCACAAGCTCTACTGAACAAGAGCTTCAGGGGAATAAAACCCCAAACCCACAGTAGCCTAGCTGCCTCTCCAGCCTTGCGCCCTGTCCGTTGGACCCTGGCTCCCCTCTGCCATACTGGCCTCCTGCTGATCCTCAACATTCCAACCCCTGTCCTACCTCTGGGCCTTCTCCATACTCTTCTGTCCTCCTGGAACATTCTTACCCCCACCTTTTCTGAACCTTCAGGTATCAGCTTAATCATCACTTCCAAGAGTGGTTTCCCCTTGGAGAAGACTTTCCTGGTGGGAGGACATCCCTCACAAAACCCACCACCTTCCTTCCACCTCCAGCCCAGTGACTCTGCCTCCCAGCACCTTTCCCTTCCTTTCAGAGTGCCAACATAGTCTATCACTAATTTTATTTACTTCTATGCTGACCTGTTTATATCTGTTTCTCCACTAGGGGCACAAGATCATGAGGGCAGGGACTGCATCTGTCTTGTTCTTCACTGAATCCCCAGAACCTTGCACAGGGTCTGGTAGATAGGGTACAATCAGTGAACATGTGGGTGAAAGGATGAATGGAGAGACAGATGGAGGAATAGAGGGATGAATGGATGGATGGATAGATGGACAGAAGGATGGAGGGATGCAGGTGTGGAAGGATGGATGGATAGATGGATGGATGGGTGGATGGATGGGTGGGTGGATGGATGGGTGGGTGGATGGATGGATGGATGTACAGCAGGATGGAGGCAGGGATGGGTGGATGGAGGGATAGAGAAATGAATGAATGGATGGATGGATGGGGGATGGGTAGACGCAAAGATGGAGGGATAGAGAGATGGATGGAAGGATGGTTGCAGGGATGGACAGAGGGAGGGAGGGAGGGACGAATGGATGAATGGATGCAGGGATGGAGGGATAGAGAGATGGATGGATAGATGGATGGATGGATGGACAGAGGGATACGGGGATGGAAGGATGGAGGGATGGATGGATGGATGGACAGCAGGATGGAGGGAGGAAAGGATAGATTAATGCAGGGATGAAGGGATAGAGGGATGGCTGGCTGGATGGGTGGATGCAGGGATAGAGGGATAGAGATGGATGAATAGATGGATGGATGGATGGATGGATCGATGGATGCAGGGATGGAGGGATAGAGATGGATGAATGGATGGATGGATGGATGCAGGGATGGATAATAGCATCACCATGGTGGTAACCTCTCACATTGTCTTCTCCTCCACAGGAGGCGTCTGACTCAGTATGATGATGAAGATCCCGTGGGGCAGCATCCCAGTACTGATGTTGCTCCTGCTCCTGGGCCTGCTTGATGTCTCCTGGGCCCAGGGCAGCTGCACTGGGCACCCAGCCATCCCTGGCATCCCGGGTATCCCTGGGGTACCTGGCTCTGACGGCCAACCTGGGACCCCAGGGATAAAAGGAGAGAAAGGTACCATGGGCTTTAGGGACACACTAGTAATGCTGACCAAGTTCCCATCTCCTGCCTCCCAAATCACAGTTGCCTAACTTTGAGACCGCAAAAGCACGGGCAGGTCCAGTAGCTTGCTCAACACTTGCAGTAACCATGCAGGGAGGGAATTCTGATTCCCATTTGACCGGCAGGAAAACTGGCTTCCAAAAAGGCCACTGACTTACTCAAGGTAGCTCAGTAAATGTTGAGGCTGAGACCGGACCACGGGTCTCTTACCATTAAATTCAGGTGGAGAGAGTGCCGCTGTTCCCACACAGTCCTGGTGTGAAACTTCACCTCCTGGGCAAGTGACTTCTCTCTGAATTGCTATTTCCTCACCTGCAAAATGGGGACAATCATATTTTTTGGGGGTTGTCATAGGGTTCAAATGAGACTCCCTACCATGAAAACCCCTCTGTAAATTGTGGCTTATTCATTCATTTAACCTGAAGTTATACAGCAACCCTCTGTGCCAGTCACTTTCCTCACATAACCTCATCTAATCCTCACAATCCCACAAAATATCTTCATCCCCATTTGACAGATAAGGAGGCTGAGCCTCAGGAAATGTGACTCAGCCAATGTGACACCACTACAAATGGCAGATGCGACACACAAAGCACACCTGTCTGTCCCCAGAGCCCATGTTCTCAGGCCCTAGTCTCCACCACTCTACTGGAAAATCAGTTGTATCTTGTGTTGTGCCAAACCAAGGGGTAGTGGCTGCTTGGGGGGTGGGGGTGGAGTGAGAAAGATTCTAAAGTCCATTGCCAGGAGCAGCAAGACTGAAGGCCATGATTAATTAGGAATGCCTGCCAGGGGTGAGGGGTGGAGAGGGACAGCGCTCATTATCCCCGCTGTAGCCTGAACAAGGACCCCCATGCAAGCTGGGGAGGAGGGCCAGCCTAGCGCCTTCCTCAGCGAGCAGTCGTTCTGCTCCCCACGGCCATCAGTCCCCACAAAGTTCAAGCATATCACGGACTCAGGAAGCTGGGCTGGAGGGAGACCCAGAGCCCCTCTCTGACACTGCCTTCTTTGTTTTATAAACGGGAGGCTGGGGCCCAGAGAGGGGCAGGGCTCTACCCAAGGCCCCAGCACGCGCCTTTTTCTTTTGGTCTCAGTGATCTCATCTCTTTGGTCTCTGCTTTTCCAGGGCTTCCAGGGCTGGCTGGAGACCATGGTGAGTTTGGAGAGAAGGGAGACCCAGGGGTTCCTGGGAATCCAGGAAAAGTTGGCCCCAAGGGCCCCATCGGCCCTAAAGGCGGCCCTGGGTCCCCTGGAGCCCCAGGCCCCAAAGGTGAATCGGGAGACTACAAGGCCACCGAGAAAATCGCCTTCTCTGCCACAAGAACCATCAACGCCCCACTGCGCCGGGACCAGACCGTCCGCTTCGACCACGTGATCACCAACGTGAACAACAACTATGAGCCCCGCAGTGGCAAGTTCACCTGCAAGGTGTCCGGCCTCTACTACTTCACCTACCACGCCAGCTCTCGAGGAAACCTGTGCTTGAACCTCATGCGTGGCCGGGAGCGCGCACAGAAGGTGGTCACCTTCTGTGACTACACCTACAACACCTACCAGGTCACCACCGGTGGCGTGGTCCTCAAGCTGGAGCAGGGGGAGAACGTCTTCCTGCAGGCCACCGACAAGAACTCGCTAGTGGGCTTGGAGGGTGCCAACAGCATCTTCTCCGGGTTCCTGCTCTTTCCAGATGTGGAGGCCTGACCTGTGGGGCTGCTTCACACCCACCCTGGCTCGCCCCACCAGCAACGCGCACTCGACCCCCAGCCCCACCCCTTGCCCAGCCAATGCACACAGTAAGGCTTGGTGAATGTTGCTGAGTGAATGGGTAAATAAACTCTTCAAGGCCAAGAGACAGTGGTCTAATTCAACTCTGCGTCCCAACACCTGGCACACCATAAGTACCAGGCTCAGAGTGTTGGTTACATGAATGAATGAACCATGAATGAATGAAGGCCTCTGTCCGAGTCCTGCTCTGTGCCAGCCACACGGGGGGCGGGGGGGTGGGTCGAACACCCACTATGCTCCCAGCAGTAGGGTACACCTTTTCCTGATTCTCCTGTTAATCCTCATTCTCTTCCTGGGAGAGAGGGCGCATCGTACCCAGCTTACAGAAGAGCAAACTGAGGATCAGAAGGGATGCAGGGATTGTCCACAATCTCACAGCAGGGCTGGGATTCAAGGGCAGCTCTGCCCACTGATGACCTGAAACCTCTTTTAAAGGCAACATATCTAGGCCAGCCCTGAAAGGTGCTCTGTGCTTGTCCCTTCCCATTACCCCTACCAAGGATCAAGGGGTCCTCCTCCAAGGCTTTACATGACCTTGGAACAGGAGCTTTTCCCTTTTTTATTCTCCCCACATGCCTTCCTCCCAGTATCTTCCCAGCCTAGCGAAAGCTCAGCCATCCAGTTAGAGCAAATGTCACTCCTCTGCTCAAAAACCTTCAGTGGCTCCCCAGTGTCCACCAGATATAGTCCTAGCCCATGAACCCGGCCTTCCAGCCTCACTCTACTAGGACTTTCTGTCTTCTAAACAAGCCCACCTCAGTGCCCTTCACCTAGAAGCCTTCCACTCTGCCCATCTACCCCTCCTGTAAAACCTCATTCAAGCCACCCGTCCTCCCTGAAGCCAGACCACCCAGCTCTCGCACGCCCACTCCTCTGGCCTCCTCTAACCCCGGAGCGTGCACAGGCAGCATCTGGCTTCTCATCCTATCTCCCCAGCCAGCCTGGAGCTCCACACCCTGCTCACTTTTGAGCCAGCACAGAACCCACGATGGACAGCAGTCACTCAGTGAAGATTCTTTGCCGGATTGGCTGAGACCACAGGCCTAGGACTCCAGAGTCCCGCCCAGCTCTGCACCTACTCCCCTCAGCCTCTCCTACTAGCCCCACCATCAAGACCCTCAACCAATCCTGACCTGAGGTGGGAGGGATTTAAGATATTCCTGCCTGTGGCACCCGCCCAGCCTCCTGTTTGGCTGGCCCATTGCTCAGGACCCCATTCACTGGGTGCTGTTTCTGCCCTATCTCCTGGGCCTGGGACCCGGCCTTGGTGACCTGCCCTAACCCCAGACTGTCCAACCAAGACCTAGAATCTTTTCTCCAGGAGCTGGCCCTTCTTTCTGCTGCTCCACCCTTTCAATGCAAACTGCCTGGCCTTTGAATCTAATACTGAGTTAAGATAGTAATGGCCACACCACAATTGAGTAACTGTATATCTAGTGTTTTGTGCACATGAGCTCATTTAATCCACAACCACAACCCCTAGGAAGAACATAGTATCATCCTCATGTGGCTACATGACAAAAAAAATATAAAACTCAGAAAGGGCAAGCAAGTTGCCCAGGGTCACACAGCTGACAGCTACACAGCCAAGTTAGGAGCCTGCTTCCGTTTGCCTCACAGTTTATCACCTCCTTGCCACCCACATCCGTTGAAACCCCTTCTGCAGCACCTCCACCCTGCAGTCCCATGGCCTCTCACCTGAACCCATCTGACCTCAGGAGCATGTTCTCGAGCCTCTGCAGTTGGGTCCATCTGTGCTAGGCTACACGGCAAGCAGGGGCAGAGCTGGCTTCTGGTGTCAAGCATGCGCAGAGCACCCCATCTTGCTGCATGGACCCGGGCAGAGCTGCCAGAGAAGTCAGAGCTCCACGCTCCTGCCTGCTTGTCTCAGGAGCTGCCGTCAGGATGCCTGGCTCTCTGCAGCGCCAACCCTCCCTGACCCCTGACCCATAAACCCTGACCCTGCCTCCTGGCCTCCACCAGACCCCCACCCCCACAGTCGGGACACTCATAAGTGCCCTTGTTGGGCTCTCCCAGGAGCTTCCAGACCTGCCAGAAATCCCGGCTCTGACCATGCATCCAGCCGTGCCCATCACAGTCCAACATGCCTGGCTCCACACAGAGGTGCATGCACCTCGACTCTTCACATTTATGTATTTATATTTATTTTGAGACAGGGCCTTTAGCCTATGGGTTGTAGTTTGCCAACCTGCTCTAGACCCAAATGTGGTTCTAACCTTGGAGAAGGGGAGCGGGAAGTTGGGCTCAGCGCTGCCTGTCTCCCTTCTGACTACAGTGTGAGTCCTGGCTTCTTTACGCCCATTGATCCTGACCCACACGCCCCTCCCAGTGGCCCACAATGCTTTGAGTCGGTTGAGAGAGGAAAGGAGAGGAAAGGGCCAAGATGCAGGAAGGTGGGGGCGTAATAAGCAGTGGTGACAACAGCTCGCTGCATGCATGGTTCTATGTATTCATGTTAACCCGTGTAACCTTTGCAATCATGCTCCCCTTTTACAGATGGGAACACCAAGGCAGGGCAGGTCAATGACTTGCCCAGCATTCTGCAATTAGTTAAGTAACAGAACCAGGTTCCACGCCCGGCAGGTCAGTTCCGGAGCTGCTGCTCTGTCACTGCAGACAGGAGGATCCCTGAGGGGTGGTGCAGGGGGCAGTTGAGGGCACTGGCTCTTAACTTAGACCTGAGTTCAAATCCTGCGTGGGCTTCTCATTAGCTGTGTGGCTCCCGTCAAGTGACTGCCCTGGTCTCCTGTTTATTTGTACAGGGGTCTCCTGTTTCACCCCCATACAAATAAACAATGCAGCAGTGATGTCCTGGCGCAGATCCTTGACGCTTTTCCTGGGTGAAGCCCCTAGATGTGGACTCCCCAGGTGAAAGGATATGCACCCTTTGAAGGCTCTGAAGTGTGTTTCCAAATGGAGGGATCAGTGGTCAAAGCTCCAGGCTGCTCCAGGCTTGCTGCCACCAGGGGGGAGCAAACACCAAGACAATGACGGCCTGGAAAAGGGGCGGGTGGTTACGTGGGACCTTGGAAACTCCTCCCTCCCTGCTCTCTTGTCCCCCAGCCCTTCCCACTCTCTGGGTGGGCAATGAACTTCCAGGCTGGTGGTGAGGTCAGCTTTCACGACCCGGATTCCTCTAAACCAGCGTCCTCAGCCTGGGGTCTCAGCATCGGCATCACCTGGAAACTTATCAGAAATGCAAATCCTCTGGCCCCATCTGAGACTGACTGAATCAGAAAATGGGAGGGAGGAGCCCAGTGGTCACCTGCCCAGGTGATTTTGATGCAGCCAGAGCTTGAGAATCGCTGCTCTAGGACAGGGGTTGTCTACTTTTTCTGTAAGCAACTAGGAAATATTTTAGGCCTTGCAGGCCACACAGCATCTGTTGCAACTACTCAGCCCTCTTTTCATAACATGAAAACAGCCATGAGCAATATATAAATAAATGAACATGGCTATGTTCCAATAAGTCTTTATGAACACTAAACTTTGAATTTTACATAATATTCATGTGTCACAAAATATTTTTCTTTTGTTGTTTTTTTTCCAACCATTTAAAAATGTAAAAACCATTCTTAGCTAGCAGGCTGCACACAACAGTCTGTGGGCCGGATTTAGCCTGTGGGTTACAGTTTGCCAACCTGCTCTAGACCCAAATATGGCTCTAACCTTGGAGAAGAGGAGCAGGAAGTTGGGCCCAACGCTGCCTGACTCCCAAGCCAGTGCTCCTTCCTGTAAGTTCTTCTGCCAGATTCCAACCTTGGGAAATTGACCGAAAAACTCTCTGGGTCTCACTGCCTTTAACAATAAAATGGGCATTGCAATCTCTGTGCGATATGAGACACTGGGTCCCCAATTTTACTGGGCAGCGAGGTCCACTGGAAATTTGCTAGTGTCCAGGCACCATCCCAGAGATTCTGATGGTTCTGATTCCATCAGATTAGACATGATCTGGAGGGGCCTGGGAAGGTGCCCTCTGTATTGACTCCAAAGTGGCCCTCTACCTCCAGCCAGCGGGCTGGGTTAATGAATACAAAAGCTTGAATAAGAGTAGATGCAGCCTCTTCCCCCAGAAATCCAGTGGCTATATGAGGAGAGGAAATGGGAAGCAGACTTTTTGTCTGCCAGTACCTACACAAGATGAGAAATGCAGCAGAGGAGAAAAGCCTAGGGGGCTCAGAGAGGCTGGGTTCAAATCACCCCTCTACCACTTCCAAGCTGTGTGTTCTCAAGCTAATTACTTAACCTCTCTGGGTTAGTTTCTTCATCTGTCACATAGGGGTAATAATATCATACCCATTCCAGAAAGCTGATGAGGATTAAATGAGATTCTGTGTGCCAAGCCCCTGGCACATAGAAAACTCCCCACAAGTAGTAGCTGTCATTATAGTGATGGGTTGTTATTGGAATTGGGGTGCTATGGTGGTGCAAGCGTTCCCCAAATTTTCACATACACAAAATTCACCTAGGTCTTACCAAAATGCAGATTCAAATTCGGTAGGTCTGGGGTAGAGGGCTGAGAATTTGCTTTTCTAATAAGTTGCTGAGAGGCATTGATGCTGCCTGGCTGGCACCATGCTTTAAGTAGCCCAGGTCAGGAGCGGCGGTTCAGCATTTTGATTTGTGATTAAGTTGAATTCTGTCATCCACAGGCCCTGGTTAGCCTAGGGACTGGTAGGCGGCAAGTGCTCTGTCATTAACGTGTTACTGGTATTGTTGCTATTGTGCTCATGGTGATGATGTTGTGATGGAGAGGATGTGGGAGCTCAAGGTCAGGGTGATGTTCTGGTGGAGAGGATGCGGGAGCTCAAGGTCAGGTTGATGCTGTGACGGAGAGGATGCGGGAGCTCAAGGTCAGGGTGATGTTCTCGTGGAGAGGATGCGGGAGCTCAAGGTCAGGGTGATGTTCTCGTGGAGAGGATGCGGGAGCTCAAGGTCAGGGTGATGTTCTGATGGACAGAATGCAGGAGCTCAAGGTCAGGGTGATGGTCTGACGGACAGGATGCGGTAGCTCAAGATCAGGGTGATGTTCTGGTGGAGAGG